AGAATCAGAGAGAACTAGGGTCAAACCCCAGCTTGACCCTCTGTGAGGCCCCTGATCTCTGAGATTTCGGTCTCTGTAAGATAGGCATACAGTTTATCTTATAGGGTGTTGTGTAGTTAGGTGACATTATGTTCCTTCTCTTTTTTCGGATTCCTGGAGGCAGCAGCCTGGAAGGGAGAGTCCAGGAGTTCCAGAGGAAGGAAACATAAACCCCTCTGACACCTGAGAAGGGGACAGTTTCCAAAAACAGCAATGTGGACTGAACAGCTAAAGGCTTCATCAGGCCTGGAGAATCTCAGAAGACATTAGGAGACTGGACGCCAATGGCCACAGGCCCTAACAGGCAGATAGGGGGCCACCCCCAACCCCTATGGTAGCTGCAGTGCTGCTTGCCTCTGGCTCCTGGATGCCAACCTGGGGAGCCCAGAGGAGGACAAGTTTCCATCTAAGCTGAAACCTGGAGGGACTGAATTTACCTACAAGTGATTAGATTACGAGTGGACGATTGAGACAGAAATAAGTTTAGCTGTAGGAAAATAGTTGCATTTCTGCACCCGAGTTCACGGTCTATAAAAAACTGGACCCATTACATAGATACATGCTTTCCTATATGTACTTTATACTTATATACACAGACCATGGATGTTCTTACATACATAAAACACGTATGTGTGGTATATGCTGGTAAATGTTTAATAGCCAGCTTTCTGGAAAACAGTAAGAACCTGGCTTACAGTAGTTGCTGATTTCTATGTTGTAAATTCTCCCAGCACAGGAGCTACCAATGTGGTATCACTGAATAGAAGTTAGAAAGATGTACACAATTAGTTCTTTGTGAGTTAATGGGAGCCAGCTCCAGCCCAACACTGAAGAGTTATATTTATGCATCTATGCATCTGCTCAAAGGTGCCCAGATTTGCAGGATTGTTTAGGTTCCTTTAAGAACTGAAATCCTAATTCTGTACATGCAAGTGTACTGAACAGTGCATAAAGATATTATGTCAAATACATGACCCTGTAGACACATTAGTCACTTAGAAACATACACAAAGACAAGTTCAAATATATAAATACATACACATCTACATATAGATCAACACAAGACAAAACTTACATATAAATGCACACATAAACACACACACTTAGGAAGAGGGAATAAACCAACCTGATTTTTTTTGGGTTGCTGCACTGGCCTAAGGCACCATGACTTTCAAAATCACTTCAGATCAAGGCAAAGGAGACTTGAAGGGCAGGCTGCTTACCGTCAGTGGTCTATACCTGTTTCTGCATTCTGTGGTACCCGCGCCCCTCCTGCCCCTCCTGGTATTTCTCAAGGTCCTGCAGTTCTGGAAGAGCCCTTCACTTGCCTTACAGCTATCAGCCTCAGCATTCCACCTGCAGTAAAGCAGCTCTTCACTCCTCTCTTTCACTGTGGGAAAGGCAACTCCAGCCTCTGTTTCTGCCATCATCCCAGATAACAGAGGGAGAGGTCAGAATTAACCCCCACCTTGAACCCACCCTGAGAATTCTGCTCTGCCCTGTCCCTTATCACTTCCCTGTTCATCTCTCACCTGGGTCATTGCCCCAACCTTCTCAGTGTCTCCCTGTTCCAGGCTCTTCCCTCCCATTTTTACCCCTATAAGGACCCTGACAGATTAATGATCCTAAAGCAGTGCTGAGGTCACACCTGTACTGGCAACTTTCCAATGCAGCACAGATTAGGGCTAGATCCTTTTAAGCCACCTGACCACTTGTCCAACTCCTGCTTCCCCAGTTCAGTTTCATTTCTGTTTTCTCCAAATGTCTCTCTCCCCGATCTTTTCTGCAAATGGTCTCTGCCGTAGAATCTTCTTACTTCTTTAGTTCACAGTGGAGCCATTTACTACCTCTCATGCTTGCGGTACAGCGCTTTACAGTTTATAAGCACCCTCAAAACTATGGACCTCTTATCACATGCCCGACACTGAGGTTACCCCTGAAAATACAGGGGTGAGTAAAAGTTGATGTGGTTGTGCTTTCGTGAACCAAGTCAACATTATCTGTTGAGGACATTGGGCCTCAAAGTTTTCTGCCCCCAAAACACATATCATTCTGGACCCCCCCTCCTCATTCCTCTTAGCTGCTCCATTTTTTCCTGCAAAGGAAATAGAGCATTCCTGGAGTCATGGGACAAAGTAGAGATGACAGAAGACAGAAGATTGCAGAAAAGGACTTGACCAACCTAATGACTATCACAGGAACAGCTACTGGTATGTTGCAAACCAGTACAAAAATGCATTAAAGTTTTACAAATAGAGGTTAATGTCTGTGTGCATGGCAACATTTTTATTTCCTTCCCATTGCAGTAACCACCCACACCCATCATAAGCAACATCTCTTATTTGTGTGAACCTAATTACTTTGGTTTCAGAGCTTCAGTTTCCTCACTTGCAATATGTGGTTAGAAATCTCTGATATTTCATGAGGCTGTCAGATGATCAAATGAGATAAAGGTGCATAAAAGAGCTTTATAGAACCAGAATATGCGACACTGTCAAAAATTCAGAAATAACAGAAGTAAAGCCAATGAATCACCTAAGTACTATTAGTAAAAATTTATTGTGCACACACCAAAAAGATAGTTTGCAAACTGGGTGCACTCAAAACAAGAAATGGGGCTCAGGGGTATATTGTTATAGAGCAGCTTATACAGTAAGAAGGCAGTGACTGTTTATTCTTTACAGTGATTGGTTGTAGAATTTTCTTAAAAAGATAAGGAATTGGTTAGTGGTTACTTCACACCAACCTTGGGAAACACCTCATGTTTTGCTTAGGATTTCCACAGGCATAAGCCAGAAATGGTCCAGGTCAAGTTGTCTTATGAAATAAACTAAATTAAGTTTTGTTTTTATGACTAGACTAGTTTTGTCCACTCAGGGAATTTTCAATGCTGGACTCCATTTGTTAACCTTATTTTGCAATCCTGTGTTTTACACTTACATCGCATTTTGGACTAGCCACATTTCAGTAGTCACTTGTGGAAACCGTGTTGGACAGCACATGCTAATTAGGAATGTAAGTAAAAGTTTCTTAAGATCGGCATAGTATTTTGCAGTTTCCAAAACTCTTTTGGCCTGTAAATCCCGTGTTAGCCTGGGTAGGTAGATCTTTATCATCTCCATTTTGTAGATGAGAAGTGGCAGCAGCAATTATGTGTTATTCAGCCAAGGTCATCCCCTAGTAAACAGTGAACTCAATCCTGGTCTTCAAACCTGGGCACTTTTTCTTTTGTTTCCTTTTACTAAACAAGCAATACAAAGGGAAACCTTAATGTTATCATATATACATATAGGCCCTAAGGCTCATGCATGAAGAAAAGGCACAGCCCTTTCAAAATTTGCCTAAATCTCCTCTCTTCCAAAAAATCCCACCCGGTTTAGTTCCATCAGAATCTAGTAGTTCCGTTACTCTAAAAATATGTTTTGGGTAGGCAACTTCCAGCTCTGATGCGCTACGGATTTAATTGATGTAGGCGAGCATTAAAAAAATCCTGCCCCTCCGTGTAATATTCTCTATGATTTATAATTGCTCCTGAGGGTTGCATGTAGTGTTTCTGCATCCCAAATAGGTTAAGAAATAAAGCAAAGACTCTTCCAGTTTAATAAGCACATATCTGCCAAAGGTTCACACCAAAGCATAACCAGACACGCAGCTGGCTGTCAGGGAAGCAGCCCTGGTGCATGGTTTTCTCTTTGACACGGCAAGAACGTCGGGAGAATGGGAGACAGGCCAGCTTGAGAACTGCTCTGACCCCTTCCTAGTGAGATGCTCCTGAAGTGCTAAGGGCAGCTGACCGCCTCCTGGCCTGCGAAGCTACCCCTCAAGGGCCCAGAACCGCCCGGAGGAGCCCCGGTTTGACTCCCATACCTTGCGCTCCCTTTTCCTTTACCGACCCCATGAAAAGAAAGGGAATGGAGTGGTGGCAGGAGGGCAACAAAAACTGTACTTGCTAGTTTGCCCGGTAGTCGATGTCCCCGCATACACCCTCCACCAAGAACTGAATTGGGCGGGAAGTGAAAGTCGAACACTCGTTTCTCAGGGCTGCAGCCTCGAGGGCATTTCTCCCTTGCCAGCACGCCTCTAGTTACTCCTGGTCAAGCGTATTCACACGAGTGCAGCGTAACCTCTGCGTGGGTGTTTGTGTTCACCTATGACTTTTGCCACCGCCAGCAGGTGTTGGGTTGAACATTATAAAAATGGTTTGAGGCCCAGGGGTCCCCACAGCTTGCGCACCTAGCTCCCAGACCCCATACCCGCAGAACTGTCCTGCTGTTTGTGCTTGTGCGTGCGTCACTCACACAGTCTACGTGGCTTATAAGCAACGCGCACGCGCAAGGCGGGGCTGCCACCGACTTCCGGGAGCTGAGGGGTGGGCAGAGCAATGACGTATCCCGCGGGTCGGTGCGGGACGCCCCTTTCTGGCTCCCTGCTGGGGTTCCGGTATCCATCTCCGGAAACAAGGTCCAGGAGGTGGGGAGGAGGTTTGCACGGGTCCGGAGCAACCGCTGAGGACAGCACTCGCCCTGCTCCGAGAAGTCGCTGGGGCAGGGCCGGCCTGGGTTGTGGAGCGGCTCCTGGTGTCACGGCTCGCGCACGCGCACTCGGAGTCGGTGGACCGCGCGACCATTCACGTGAAGCGGGGCGGTGCCGAGCGGGTGGGAGGGCGTGAAGGGCCGGCGGGAGGGAAGCAAACGACGGCATCTGCGGCGGCGGTAGCAGCAGCATGGCCGCGCTCTACGGGGGTGTGGAGGGGTGAGTGCAGCCCGCCGGAGGGAGTCCGGGAGGGACGGCTTGGAAGCAGCCTGGGCCACTCCATCCCCCCACCCCTGGCCGGAGGGAGGGGCGGCAGGAAGGCCGTGGCCCGGCCAGCAGGCTGGTGGCCTCTCATACCAGGGTCTGACCGCTTTAGGGCTTGTGGACTGCGGCGCCTTGCGAAGAGGGGGTCTTTGCACGCGCGGCGATGCCCTTGCGCGCACTGGCATGTGCTTTGCAGGGACTGCGTGTGCCACGACCACGCCCCGGGGGGGTCCTTTGTGTTTCAGGGCGGAACCACGCCCCTTTCACCCCCAAACCACCCACTCCACAGTCTTCTGCTGGAGATACTCCTTTTCCCCATTCCAGAGCCCGGAGAGAATTTAACAGAAGAAGTGTCAGGTGTGAAGTTGCTGGACTGAGGGTGGGGAGTGGCAGTGTGGTGGAAGCTAGGACAAGATCTTTGCAGATCTTGGCCGGAGAATGTCTGGATGCTGGAACGCCGCGAGCCAGAGTGCTAGCCCGTCCCGGTGCCTGAAACTCCTCCATTGTCGGCAATCCAGGCTCCTCGCACTAGATCGAACCCTCTGTTGTTCTTGACATTTTCCTGCTCAGAAGCTTGTCTACTGGACTTTTTGTACTAGTTCTTCCCCTCAGTATGACTATGGGCAAGAGTTTTGCCTTGTCTGTGCTTCGTTTATTACATATGTAAAGTTCAAAAAGGGACGAACGAGAAGGATCTGCAACTCACTGCCAATGGTATTCTGGGAATCTGGGTGTGCCGAATCAGGGCGTAATACCGGGTGTCTGTTGTCTCAGCCAGGGAACTTTGGAATCTGAGATTTGATTACTTCTGTGACAGCCACATTTCACTGTAAACTCGTGGACCCCAAAGTTTTTTTCACATGAACTGTTAAGGTTGATCTCCCCTATCCTGTATCTATTGCACTTAAAAAAAAAAAGAGACCTAAGTACAGGAGTTTGCACTGTTATGTTCATGTACAAGAAAAGATCTGTTTTTCTAGTTTGTCAAGAGAATCTTTTGGATGTTGAGTATGCCACCTCATGCATTAACTACCCCTTAAAATTTCTTGTCATCTTTAAGTTTGATGGGAAGTCTTAAGTGTCCTCTTCTGATATTCCTAAATGTACTGATCAATAAAGAAGCATACATCACACCACCACAGACTTCTCTCCAAACTAATTTCTCCCAGTAATAAGCATTTGACCTTTACTTGCGTAAGTAGGTATAAACTCTCCCTGCCATCTGGTCAGTGTTTCTCACAAGTCTTGAGACATTGGCATCTTGAGCTGGATCTTGAAAAGCAGCCTTTAGCTATTGCAAGAGAAGCAGGGAGATGTGCCATTCTCTTTAATGCCATTTACTGAGTTTTGCCTCCTTTAGGCCCTCTGCTGGACATGTGGATAGATAAATGATCTAGAGCTTCACCTAGTGGAGCTTGTAATCGTGAGAGGCAGACAGGAAAACAACTAAACACACTCTTAATACAGAGAAATCCTTCAGAGTTATGGTGGCACTGGCACAGCTTAACTAAAGGAAATGTGGGGGTGACCCACATCTCAGAGGTTTCAAAGACTAGGTGATATGTAAGTAGGGTCTTGCAGTATAAGTAAGACATCCCCAAGGGAAGCTGAGCAGGAACTGTTCATTCCAAAAGGACAGCAAACACCAAACCAGGAAGTAGGTTTGGGAATGGCATTGGGTTTGCGGAAGCCAATTCTATCATTCTAGGCTCTGCGTGTGACAAGCGTAGCCCTATCTGCAGGTTTTTCTGAGTAAGACTGAGCGCCCCCTTGTGTTCTATAGGGGAGGCACACGGTCCAAGGTCCTTTTGCTCTCAGAGGATGGGCAGATCCTGGCCGAAGCGGATGGGCTCAACACAAACCACTGGGTAAAGGCTACACTGAGGGGACTGGTTGGCTTGGTTGTGGTTTTGTTTTCTGTAACTCCTGGTGAGGTGGTGGCTTGGGGCTAAGGTAGCAGCCTGTAGGTGCAACACAGGTCATGCAAGCCTTTGTAACTCTCTTTCTTGATTGGGGCCAGCTGATCGGGACAGACAAGTGTGTGGAGAGAATCAACGAGATGGTGAACAGGGCCAAACGGAAAGCAGGGGTGGATCCCCTGGTACCTCTACGAAGCTTGGTGAGTCTGGTGGTAGAGCCTGGGAATTAAGAGACAGCAAGTTTGAATTAGATGAGTCCAATGACTACAGAGTGAAAGACCTTGAGGCCTTATTCTCTGGTCTAGAAGCTCATATGATCTCATCCATTCTTGTGGATTCAGTTGTCACCTATAAGCCACATGGATTAGAAGAGCACAGTGTTTTGGAAAGCCTCTGAGACATTGGTTATAGTTCTAGCATTGTCACTGAACATCTGTATGATCCTAAGTAGGTAACACATCTCTAAGCCTCAGTTTCTTCATTTGGAAAATGCATATAGCAGTAGCTATCCCAGAGTTGTGTTGGGAAAGTACAATGACTCGATACATCCCGAAGTGGTTATCATAGAGCTTGATCCATAAGCACTCATGAAATGTTAGCTATTATTCCTAGTTCAGACTTTCCTCCCAACTTGCTCTCAATACTCCCTAGATACAACCTCAGTGATGTTCTATAGGCACAAACCCTATGTATTCCAAACCAAGCTTCTCTTTCCTCAGTTTGCTCCTCTGCCTGATTATTCTGTTAAGGACACTATTGTCCTCCCAAGCTCCAAACCTGGCATTGTTGAACTCCATTTCTGTGTCCATTCCCAGTTCAGATTCTTGCAGCCACAGCCTTCTGATGAGTCCTTGTATAGGGTAGAAGAAGGACTGGGGCTGGATCAGCAGGGTGTGCACAGGTGTAGAGGGCAGGCACAGATGTGAGGAGGGAAGGGGTTGAGAAAGGAGCTGGCCAGGCCCTGCTCACTCGCTGGCTCACCTCTCATGTGGCCTAGGGCCTATCCCTGAGTGGTGGGGAACAGGAGGATGCAGTGAGGATCCTGATGGAGGAGCTGAGGGACCGATTTCCCTACCTGAGTGAAAGCTACTTAATCACCACTGACGCTGCGGGGTCCATCGCCACAGCTACGCAGGATGGTGAGGAAGTGGAGGGTGGGGTGAGATTGAGAATTGGTTTTCTTGGGAAAGCCCCTTGTGGCAGAACTTAGCTTGAAATACCTCAAAGGCAGCCCCTGGCATACCCCACCCTGCCCCGTGTTCTTTTCATTAGTTGGAGTTCCTGCCTAAGCAAGGTCTGGACTCTTGGGTATCTTGATGGAAAGAAGGAGTGGAGTCAGACAGAGGCCTCCATTTGGGCCCGAGGATGGAGCCCCTGGGGCAGTGTGGTGATGAGGCTGGCTGGGGAAAGCAGTGAGTGCCGAGAAGGTGGGAGGAGCTCTGTGGTGGTGTGTACAAAGCCCTGGTGTCATGAGATTGGCATTTGAATCCACTCCTGTTTTTGCCAGCTGTACCACCTTGGAGAACTTGAGGAACTCTCTTGAGTTCCAACTTCCTCATCTATCACATGGGGGTAATTGTATCCATAAAGGTAATTTAGGGTTTTGGGTATCAGTAAATAGGGTCTTGCACAATCCCTGGCGCTAGATAATCGGGAAGCAGGTGGTCACTTGATGGCTGGCTGGGCAAGGAGACAGACTCATGATCCTTTCTGTCCTCCAGAGAAGGGCTTTGTGAATTAGAGGTTCTCTGAGACCTAGGCCCTCTGCCTCTGGCAGGAAACTAGCTGGGCTGCATTTGCTCTACAAGACTAGGTGGTGATCCCTCTGCTGGGGGCTGGTTTCTGTCCTGTTTTCTCAGTTGAAAGCTGTGTGCTCTGTGCAGGGCCTTGGCCACACTGAGCTTCTCGTGCCCTGTTCCCAGGTGGGATCGTGCTCATCTCTGGGACAGGCTCCAACTGCAGACTCATCAACCCTGATGGCTCTGAGAGTGGCTGCGGCGGATGGGGCCACATGATGGGGGACGAGGGCTCAGGTGAGCTCATGCCAACTAGGCCTGGTTCATGGTCCTAGGCTCTTTCCTTCCTGCAGCACCCCACCTCCCCGACCTTTGGCATGCTGACCCTCTGGGGCTCTCTGGGGATAGTTCCTGGAACTGCTCTTTCTGAGCATAGGGTAGTGACTAAGAGATCATAGAGATGGCATATGTTGGACTAACGGCTGGCCTTCCTCTTCAGCAGGTATTCAACCAAGATTGAGATTCATGCCTCAGCATAACAGCTATTGCCTACCTGTGTTAACTTTTGGAATGCTTAGGGAGGAATTGATACTATGAAGGTTAAGGCCATAGATGCCAGAAGATTACTCACCAGTGTGCTAGTGGGAAAGGGTTATAGGAATTCCTCCTGCCATCACCCTTTGTAGGTAGCACGTGTACATTTTCATAGGAACCCTTGGGGTCAAGCTTCTGGCAGTGACTACAGTGGTTTGTGTGACAGCTGACTGTCCTTGTCTTAATTTTTGGGTAGGAGCTGGTGTGACCCAACCTCGCCTCTTCTGTCTCCCCGCCAGCTTCCCTTCTGTGGATCAGTCAGGCACTGATTAGAGGCCCCCAGGCTGGGAATCAGGACACCTAATTTACTGAAATACCCAAGCCCATCACGAACATTGTGTAGGTCTGCATTTCCTCCTCTGTGAGTTTGGGGAGATTGCCCCTCTTAGTCCTCTCTGCTCTCCGCAGCCTACTGGATTGCACACCAAGCAGTGAAAATAGTGTTTGATTCTATCGACAACCTAGAAGCGGCTCCTCATGACATTGGCTACATCAAGCAGGCCATGTTCAACTATTTCCAGGTACTACCCCTGCCCCGGGAAACGTGCACACCTGACATAGGCGTGCACTTCCACTGAAGAGGACCAAATGCAGGAGAGGGACTGGGTGAGCCAAAGGGAAGTCAGGGTGAGTGGTGGGTCAGAGCTGGTGGGTGGAGAAATTGGGGATCAGGGAGGAGAGCCAGTGAAGAAGTGGGTTGGGAGAGTTCTTGGGGAGGTACAGCCTTCACCCAGGGCACTGGGAATTGACTTCTTTTCTGGGCTGTGCTCATTTGTAGTGGGTTAGGAAATGGCTGACTAGCTGAACCAGAGGCAAAAGGTGGGAGAGGAGCAGGAAGATAAATTGATTTGATAGATCTCACTCAGCATTCCTCTGAGTGAGGGCCACTTAAGTGAGCTGGGGCCAAGGCCAAGGAAGGAGACCAGAGATGCCGGGAAGTAGGACCTATATTCTCAAGGCTCAGGGATTGATACTTAAAGAGAAGCTGTCCTGGACCAAGATGAGGAAGAGGGAGGAACTAGAGAGAGAAATCACTTTCTTTGTAGGAAATGCAGTTACACTTTCCTGACCCAGCAGATTGGTTCTAAACTCCACTAATGTTCTGCCACGCCCTCTTATCTTTCAGTCGTTCTTACAGTCATTACAAAGATTAAATGAAATATTGTATATAACATGCTTAATACATTGCTGTAAGTATTCAAATTTTAGCTCCCCTCCTTTAATTTAGTAATGTATTCTAGGGGATCTGGTTCCTCAGGACCTTCAGAGGCCTTATAGGTGTGTACATTTTTGGGGGTGGAAGAAGGACCTTCTGTGGTCAAATAAGTTTGGGAAGGACTTCTGAGAGCCTTTAATTTGCTAATGTGCATTGTGACTCTCAAAGGGAGAGTTGCAGTGTGCATTAGTCCTTAGATGCCTTTGACCAAAGAAATATTTTCAAAAGCACCCCAGTGACACTTTGAGGAGCACAGATCTCTGCTCTGTGCTGCATCCAGACTAATCCGTAAGGAGCGTGGGGTCCATGCTGGGAAAAACAAAGAACTTCTTTCAAATGAGAAATCTCAAGTCCTTAGATTTTCTAGAGCTTCAAAAAACAAATGCTATGCCAGCTCTCAAACAGTGGAGACATCAGGAGAGCCAACTTGAATGGGCAGATTGGGAATTCTTCTCTGCTTCTGATGGTGCTCTTGTGTCATTTCTCTGTACTTCAGGTGCCAGATCGTCTAGGAATCCTCACCCACCTGTATAGGGACTTTGATAAATGCAGGTTTGCCGGGTTTTGCCGGAAAGTTGCAGAAGGTACTGGAGGTGGGGCAGGGTTTTATTGGGCTTTTTCCCCAAGACCTCCCTAATTGAGGGGTGGAATAGGGCTCATATGGGGGCTGGAAGCCAATATCCCTTTGAACAAGTGACCTCAGTTCTCTGCTACGATGGTCCTTGGAACTGGTGTGAGCCTTGGGGTGGAGGCAGGACACCTGGCTTGTGTTGACAACTGTTTTATATTATCTGTGTTAATTTTGACAGCTATCATGCCCTGTGCAGGCTGTATGTCTGTTTCTCAGAAATTTATGAAGCAGTTGTCCTTTGGGCAAATGTATAATTCTTTTTAAACCAATGGTACCTCAAAAACTAGGGAATCATGGAGAGGTTAGGTGTTTTTGGTTGGTTGTTGAGAAGCTGATCCATAGGGCTTTTCTGCATATTGTTCTTTCTCTGCTTTATGATCCATACTTTCTTAATTTGGATTCCTGCTGCCTCAGGGCATTGTAGGGCCCTCTTAGGTGCTGCTGGACTGAGGCCCTTTCAGAACAGAGCTAGGAAGGGGCTGATCAACAGCAGACTGTTGGAGGTGGTAGGGGACTCTGATAGCTGCTAAAGTAGGGTCCTGGGTCCCCTGAGCTAAGAGACCTTCAGGAATAGACACAGTAATCCAGTGTAATCTGGGAGTGTGAACTGGGGGCCAGTGTGCTCCTCTAGTGGGTGCTGTCCTTAAGCATCTGGAAGGAGCCACTGCTGTACAGGGCACCCCTCCTTGGGGGCAAGTTCTGGAAGGGTCAAAGGAGGAAGGATGGAGGCAGTTTGGAGGCTTGCTCGCCCACATGCCATGGTGTGTGCATCCATTCCTGATTAGGCCTCTGCTAGCTCTCCATACTTGGCCTGTTGCTGTCCTTCAGCAGAGAGAGAGAGTAACAGGACTGCAGCCCCCTGGTAGTCACCACTCCGTCCCTTCCCTCCCCAGGTGCTCAGCAGGGAGATCCCCTCTCCCGGTTTATCTTCAGGAAGGCTGGGGAGATGCTGGGCAGGCATGTTGTAGCCGTCCTGCCTGAGATTGACCCGGTGAGTTGAGGTGGGGAATGAAGCTGGGGGTGGCTAGGCCACATTTGGTCCTTTGCTGTTAGGGATTCGACTGTGTAATCAGACTCTTGAAATTGGATATGTTGTTAAATGAACTTAGGGTATGAGAAAAATTCTGTAGAAACTGTAACACAAGTAAGTTTTTTGGTCCAGGAGAGGCTCTGGCTGCTCTGTAAGCTGTATTTAGTGCATCGGTTTAGTGTGGCACATGTGCTGTACCTTCTTTCAGTCATATTTTTGTCCACTTCCCCTTTTCTTCTTTCTTCTGTATGTTCCTTAACGCTTTCCCCTTCCCCTTCCCTCCCTTGCCTTTACAAATTTCCCTTTACTCCCTTTTTTCTTTTCTTGAGTCCGCCCTCTGGTTCTTGGCTAGAGGGTGTTTGGGATTGGGTGGGCTGATCTTAGGGCCATACTCCCTGCAGCCCTGGAGAGGCTTTGTCACCCCTAATGTCCATTTCTGCTCTCCACCCAGGTATTGTTCCAGGGGGAGATGGGCCTCCCCATCCTGTGTGTGGGCTCAGTGTGGAAGAGCTGGGAGCTGCTGAGGGAAGGTGAGCAGGTGGTAGGGAGCAGGTGGGACGGGCAAAGGCAAGGGAGGTGGTGGGATGGAGGTGGCCCCGGAAAACTGCCTGTCCGAGGGAGGACTTGGGCTGGGAACCTTGACAGGCCACGGATGCCTTAGGCCAGGGCCTTCAACCTTTACCCTGCCAGGGAGCCCTTTTACAATGTCCCATCCAGTTTCCTTGAACTCTTAAAAGGATATTCTTTTCCAAAGGATTTATTAAATAAGTACCATTTTTTAAAAAATTGAAGACAAACCTAACTTAAAATCGGAGCTTCTGATCCGATGTGGTGATATCCCTAATGAACACAATCCAGAAGGAAAGAAATGTGCCTTCTTCACCCTGGCAGCTCTGTGGTTTCTGTTAGACATTCTGAAGTAGCTCAGGGACCCCCACTGCTCCCTCGGAGTCCCCAGGGTAGGCTGAGTGCTCAGAGGCTGTTGGCTCTAGTCCCCCGTGACTGTTACTGGGCTCCTGTACCCTGCTGTGCTCTTAGGGACTTGGCATCTGGGTGCTTCTAGGACCTCCACGGGAGTGCCTCCGGGCCGGGGCCTCTGCTCTCCCTCCCTGTTCATTTCCACCTTCTCCCTGGTCTCTGCCACAGGCTGCTGGTCTCCAGTCATCTCTGTTTTCTGTGTTCTTTTCCTCCAGGTTTCCTTTTGGCACTGACCCAGGGCAGAGAGATCCAGGCTCAGAGCTCCTTCTCCAGCTTCACCCTGCTGAAACTGCGGCACTCCTCTGCCCTGGGCAGTGCCAGCCTGGGGGCCAGGCACATCGGGCACCTCCTCCCCATGGACTACAACGCTAGTGCCATTGCCTTCTACTCCTATACCTTCTCCTAGGGGGCTGGCCCTGCTCTGCCCACTCCAAGCCCAGAGGACATTGGATGTGGGGAGGAGGCTTTTCTCCTTTTCCTTTTTTTAAAATAGAAAAACACATATAAAAGAAAATAAACGCACTTTACCCACTCCCCAGTTGGATTGTGTTATCAAGCACAGTTGCTGTGTACATCCTCAGCACGCCCGCCTGCAGGTGTCCCAGAGAGCTCTGGAATGGTGTTAGCCTGGGCTTAAAGCCCCACCTCGTGCTTGGCCTGTAGTCTCCAGTCTGCTTGCCATGCTGTTGGTAGGTAATTGACTGTGTGCCACCCCTCCCATACACATAAGCACACTTACATGCTGTGAGGTGGACTATTAACCTGTGATCACAGTTTTCCCGCCAAAGTGGGCAATGATACCTGCTGACCATTTTCACTGGACTAAGTTCACCATGCAGAACATCACTGGGACACAGACATACCACATGTGCTCATGATCGTCCCTCTAGGATTTAGGGGACAGGGTTCTAGTCTGGAAGAATTTTTACCTCACCGGATTTGGTACTCACAGGTAAAACAGCACATTTTGCAGTTTTTCCACATGAATGAGTTCTTGAGATGTTATCAGGATGTCTAAAATCCAAGAAGGCAAACTAGACACTAGGTGGCCCACCTATTTCTGGTGCCTACTAACTAGCCTGGCCCTCGTTATACTAGTATGACACTGTTGTGGCATCTGGAATGATACCAACAAAGAAGACATAATTCCTGTGTTCTGGATACTGTAGTTTAATTGGTAAAGAAAAGCCTGAAGCTTATGCAGTTTGGCGAAGATGGTGTTGACCCACAGTGGCTGCCTCTACAGGTGTTTAGAGTGTAAGCTGTTAGGAAGGCACGCATCATGTCCTAACATCAGTTCTCAAACTTACGTGCATCAGTTATTCTAGAGCTTGTTTCGAACTTATTTCTCTCCTGTTCATAGGGTATTTGATTCAACAGGTCAAGGATGAGCTGGGGAATTTTCTTCTAAATACCCTGGATAATTGCTGCTGCGGAGGTCCAGGAGCTCTTGGAGCTCTACCCTACTTGCTTCCCAAGTCAGATGACGCTGGATTTCACAATGGATCGCAGGATGGCAACAGCTCTCATCCCATTAGCTCTGGCCGAACGTGGCAAGCTGAAGCTTTGAGCAGGAAGAGCTCAAACCAAATCCTAAAGACAGCTGGCCACCTTCACATTGAGCTGTGGTCCAGCTACTGGGCTCAGTTCTCAGCAAGTCTCGAATACGTCATCTGGTAAAAAGCTTGCAAAGAGAACAGGGACACAGCAGAGGTGCCTTTGCTGTATCTCATAGTCCTAATCCCATTAATAAGTGATGAGCTTTGAAGAAGTTTTATACATGGTCTCAGGACCAGGGTCAAGCAGTATTTTGGATTTAGAATCAAATTTTACTGAAGGGTTTATACAGACCTACTTATGTTCTTCAGGATAAGCCATTGTTCTTCCTTACTGGTGCCTAGGCTCTACGGTTCCAATTTGGTGGCAGGTTTTAGAGCAGAGCAAGGGGCACATCCTTCATTGAATTTTTAGTCCAAGCACATAAGTGTTGAGTGAATCTTAGTTGAAATGAAGGCAGTATTAAAGTGAACAAAGTCAGATGTGTTCCTAGTTCCTTTAGCCAAAGAGTTGATAAAGTGGCTTACCTTCCAGTTAAGGGTCTGTTACACAGAAATTGCAGTGTAGAAAGTCGTAAGTGATTTTGATGAGTTTCTCTCCCTTCAATTTTAAATTTATAATCTTCCCTAATAAGATATCAGGAGCAATTAATGGGAATCCATACTACCAAGGCATTGGAGATGTACACATTCATCTCATCAGAGCTTACAAAAGCCTGTGATGAGGCAAGAAAACAAACTGCACTCAAATGAGGCCAACACTGCCTTAATCTACCTGTGCGATTGTGCGCACAGCACAGCCTCTTCTGTGCTATTCATTCAGCAAATGCTGCCTTCCAGCTGTGATGGGTGCTCTAAGGATTAAAAATGATTACAACTCTTACAGTAATTGAAAGTTGGCAAAACCCAGAACTCCACGTTTACAATACTGTGCTTTTTTTGAACATTATACTTTAGTTAGTTTAATTAAATTTCTAAAGTGAATGAATAGACCATCTTAAAGGATGTGAATAGTTCAGGCCCTGTGTATACATAACTATAGGACCTCAAAAAGCTATAAATAGACAAATCAGCTCGAATTTTGTCCCTCTGGTTTTAGGAAGGTGGCAAAGAAATGACAGCACTCAAAGCAAAACCCATGGCCATAGTCCGACCCCATGATCTTTTTACCATATGGTAGGGAGTCAATGGGTTCTTCAGGCTAGGTTTAAACTGAGCTAAGTACAATAGCAAACTAAATTACAATGCAGGGGTGACATATGCTTGTTAACCCAGTAGCCCTAGTACCTAGGACAGTGCTTGGTGCCTAACAGGCTCTCAAACCTGTTTGTAGCTGAAAGCCTTTTCTTGATAGAAGTCAGTTTTGCCCAGAAACAGGAAAATAACAGCTATCCAATTTCCCTTCAAGCCCAAGGATTTCCTGTTACCAGCTCTTTGTTCAAAGTTGTACGCATTATTGCCACTCTTGCTGCCATGTATTAAGTAAGTGCCTATTATGTGTCAGGCAGTATTTTGAAGTCAAATTTGGTCTGATTTCCACAATAGCCCCAGGACAAGTATTGCATCTTTACAAGTAAACTGAGGTGCAGGCCAAAGACACAAAGAAAGTAGTGGGGGTGGGATTCACTCAGGTCTGACTTCAAGCCAATGCTTTTACTACTTCCTAACACTACTGAGAATGGATAATTATGCAACTAAAAATGTGACCCATCCTGAGACAAAAATCTCTGAAAACACATCACATGTAAACCCCCTGTACGATGATACAGTGACCCAACCTTAGGAAAAAGGTTACCACTGCCAGCAAATGCATTTTATTCTCATTTTATTGAGATTTTCAACAGCTGCCATTTGGTTTGTATAGCAAATTTTTAAAAACAATATTTTTTCATTTTTGATATTTTTATGAAAATTACTGTCAATTTTAAAGCCCTGCCCATCATGTGAAGAAGTATTGATAAAACTACCATGTAATGTTTATTTAGGGGAAAAAAGGAACAAAACCAGCTTTTAAGCACTTGTGAAATAAAGGTTCAAAATCAAGACCTGGGCTGCTGGAGGTGCAAAGCTGCTGTGGCAGGCCACCCTCAGCACTTTCTCCACACTGACAGATAGGTGAGCCATGCACAGACAGACCCTCTGCAGGCTGCTTGTTCCACAAGCTCTATTCCTTTCCCACCACCACCTGCCAACTATCCTCCTGCCCTCCAAGCAGCACAATCTTTAATACATGTTCAGTTTTGTAATGAAGATGATACTGTAGAAAGTTCAGAGATTTCCCCATCTAGTCAGGGAAGAAAAAAATATCCAACACAGCATTAGCAATAGTTTAACTTTCTTGTCCACTCAAAGCATGCTCATATTTATGAAATTACCAGCTGCTTCAAAAGTCCTGATGGGTAGATAGCACAAAAGTTCCTAATAAAAAAGTTGCAAAATTATAAAAATTTCAGCAGCAGTTCAGGCTCCTATGTGAAGCTTCTGATGACAGCTGGTTCTGGTAAGCAGTTCTGTTGACATGCACAGCAGCTCCCCTGAGTCTTACGTTTTATTCAGACCATAGAAGATTGAAATCCAAGTTTAAAATAGACTCCCTGCTGACAAAATGTGGTATATCCGTCAATTGAGTACTATTCAGCAATAAAACTCAACACAAGTTACATGTCATGGATGAACCTCAAAAATATGCTAAGTGAAAAAAGCCAGATACCAGAGATCACACTGTATGATTCCACTGATAATACTGTTCAGAAAAGGCAAATTTACAGACATAGAAAGATTAGTGGTTGCACAGCTGGAAACAGATTATTAGCATGTCAATGGGCATGAAGGATTTTAGTGGTGGGATGCAATGTTCTAAAACTGAGATGGCTATGGCTGTGCAACTTGGGATAGTTACTAAAATCACCCAACTGTACACTCGAAATGAGTGACTTTTATGATACGTAAAATATGCCTCAATAAAGTTGCTTTAAAGTCCGTGCCTCCCAGGACACTCATCAAACACTAAACATTTCTGAAGGTTCACATCAACAGGATAGGATTATCACTTAGTGTTTAGTTACGGAGTAAAAACACTGTACTATTTTATAGCAAATAGCCCAGAATGTTTTATCTTTATTTTAAATAAAAGGTTGCTAGTAAGACTGTAGGACTGGGGAAGACAGCTAAGCAAATCTTGCAAATGAGACTCCTGGTAACTACAAAACCTAAAGGGACTTTTTCGGTCAGAGTAAAAATGGAGCATCTGTTCCTTTGCAGACTTTGCGGCCCCAGGGCTTAGGGTGCTGGGTCTCTGGGCTACCTGCTAGTGGAGATCAGTATGCTCGGCTGTCCTATTCATACGGCCCTCCTAACAACTACAGTGCGGACAGCCACAGGGGCTGGGTGGTGAGGGCAGATGGTCCAATAGGAACAGGTCCGTCAAGGAAAATTCGAGTGTCTCCTTGGGTTAGCTTCCTTACTCCCTTGTACTTTCTCACCAACTGCAGCTTCAAGATGGGAGAAATAAAGATAGAAGATTGAAAATGAAGGGGAAAAGAAAACCCTTCATAATTGTGACTAACCAAGTCTGTGCAAGAAATTCGCCAGGCAATAGATCAGTGGCTGCAGAACATACTCTACACACCACACAGGGCAGCAGGACTGGGAGAAATGATCCTGTGGGTGGTGGGGGAAATGACGCTGCTGGGAACAGAGGGCAGAGCAGATCAGGGCCTGAAGCCCATCAGTCTGCCTGTTCTCTCCACCCACTTCCCAAACAAGTGAGGTCTGTGTCAAGAATGGCTGGAGATACAGTCTTCCCAGTAAGTGGACGTCTCCAAATCTTGGTCAAATCCGTCAGCTCTCTGCCTGTTCCCACACATTAACATCACCTAAACCTAGAAATGTTATTTATCTGGGATACTGAGACCCTTATGGAACACCTGCCCCCCAGTCACAGTAGGGTGGTTTCTGCATGGCTCATGACATTTCTAAGTGGGCTTTGTTTTACAGCAGCACCAATACAAGCAGATTCAGCCAAGCTGTTTCCTGTGGCTATGTCTTCACATGACTTTCCTCTTTGACATATATTAATTGCCAGAGTGTTTGACCTCCTTACCTGTCAGCCTCTCCCAAATTAAGACAACACTTTGACATTATGATACATAATTTGAAAAATGCTGCTTAGTATGTCACTAAAAACATTTTTTAAGCTATAGTTAGCATAACCTTAGTTAAAGAGACTCCAACTGTTTTGACTTTCAAAACTAAAGGTGCTGCAAAGGTCCAGCCTTTTCCTTACTATCTTTGTTAGGTGGTTGACCTTATTTGATGCCCAAAAGTTAACTGCTGCAGTCAGAAGCCATTCCAAAAACCCACAGCTGCAGTGCTCAGGCCTCGGCTCTATCAAGTTTTCTGCTGCAGTTCAAAGCCTGGAGAACTGAAAAGGCGTTTCCTTTTTTTTCCCCCTTGAAGAGCAAGAGAAAATAATTTTCATCTTGGAGACTTAGAATTCAATAATCACAAAAATAAAAAATCAATCACTAATAAACTAACACTGGGACCAGCCAGAATTGGCAGTTGGTTAAAACATATATTCTGTTTATACAAATTCTCAAACTTCCAGTAGCCAATAAAAGAAATTTAAACAGAACAGCATCTTAAACTCGACATCAAAATGATCACTTATAAATACGAGTCTCACCCTTACTGGGTAACAGTGTTCAGCCTGACTTGCACCCAGAACCTCTCCAATGAGGAAAAGTCTGAGATGGATGCTCCCAGCCTTTCCCCAGTGAAGTTCCAACCAGCCCTGCATGCACTTCCTGCTAAGGAACAGGCAGACTCCCACTGCAGCTGAGCCTGTAATCTGGGTGACAATGTGTTTCCACCTTACAACATACAATAGAAGGTTGGGCTAGAAGAGGATCCATTGTCAAGTATAAGCCTACACACTGGAAAAGGTGTCACACTGTAGCTGCTTCCTGATCCTGGAGTCAGCACACTGTGTCCGAATGGGACTGGGAGGTCCAGCTCTCAGGTTCCACTGCTCATCCAGAAGGACGCTTTCTTAGTCCTGACCAAATATGCCTTGTGAAATGGTGCTAAAGGCTGACATCCAAAATGGAACCCCAAAACAGATTCCAAGACAAGTCTATGGACTGCATCAAACAGCTCAGCTTATCCATGGGTCAGAAGAGCAAGCCTTCTTCAGGATGTAGGACTTCTCAGACAGGGAGCCACACAAAAACCCACTGTACTCTTGTGATGGACACACCCACAAGTCTAGGAAATGGCCCTTTCTGCAATCCCAACTTATTTTTGACAGCCTACAGAGTTCTGAGTGGGAACAAGTTAATGGAGACTGAAGAAGGGCAAGAAGCCCCTGAAGTGATGCCTCTACTTCTGCACTTCCAGGGCCCTCTCCTTATTAGAGGCAACAATCCCAGCTAAAAATTGAAGCTGGAATAAAGAAGTTCTTTATTAGTAGCTTTCCTAAAAATGAGTCAAGAGCTCCATTCTCTCGAGGTAGAGGCTTTGGGAATTATGTCCACGCCAGACAATACAAGCTCTCTAAGCTACTCTATGACATTTTTCAAATGATGCCATCCTAGAGATGCAAATGAGGAAAAGATGTGGGTTCCTAATGTCAATCTGACATTAGTCTGTGGCTGTTCAAAAAGTCAACAAGGGAGCTCATAAAAAATTTCTTAAGCTTTCCAGAACCTAGTCCTTTCCTTCCAACCTCTGTTCCACATCCACATACTGAATTTACGGACTTTGAAGTTACATATCTTTTCCTGACAGGCCTATCACATAATAGTACCAGTCATACAGATGCCACTGCCCTCCTCAGGCCTCTGCAAGTCCTTGTCCTGGGAGAGTGGCCAGGACTGGACACATTGTCTTTTATACCCGACTACCATCTACATCTCTGTCACAAAGAAGTAGCTGGTGCCTAGTTTCTTATGAATATCAACAAAAATTCCCTGTGATTTACAGGCAGGAAAAACAAGAGGAATGTACCCAGAGAGCCCAACCTCAAAAATACACAAAGCCAGGTACATGTAAAATTTTATCATGGCTGAAACTATCCCACTGGGTCACAGTCACGAGTCCATTGGGACTTTACTCTTCCAGGCTTTTTTTGAGTTGTTCTACACAATTCTGTAAGGTGGGGAAAAGCATTAGATTGTGGATTGTGCTTCTTGCTAGTGTCCTGAAAAACATATTTAGTTTTAAAAGTACATGCATAAACCTTTCTATGAGAAGTAAGATACCAGGAGGACTGAGTCTTCATGGGGCTGGAAAACAGTTGTCAAAATAAACTTAAGACACAACTATACCTGGATTCGAGGGTGACTTCTGCAGGCTGAAGGTGAAGGCCAGCACAGCATGTGTCTCCTATATCTTTGGTAACAATATTTTTTCTTAAAAGCAAGAACAGGGCGGGGATGGAAAGGAGAGAGGGGTCTAGATACCATAAGGGATGAAGTGGCAAAGCCATCCTAGTGCTCTTGTACCTTGTAAATGGTAAGTCTGATGGTAGTTGTAAACACAGGCTTAAGAGTCAACCAACAGTAAATGAATGACTCAAGTGACAATCATCATGACACTCCTCCCCTTCTGGTTTAGTTTTCATTAGCTATCAAAAGAGCTACTGTAAATCAGCACTTTTAAGTCTGTGTTTTCTTGAATACGTCAGGGCAGGGAGACATGGGCTGGCAAACCATCAGTAATCCCAGTTCATCAAGAAACCTCCAGGGGTCAGGGTAGGGCTGGGCTCTGCCCTACGGTTTCCAACACATGATTCCTCCTCCTCTTGTCCCTCTTTCTCATCCAGCTTAACAGACTCGGTAAGTAATTCTCCAGGTGTTCACTGCTCTTTGTGAGTACACAGCAGGGTGAGCAGGGCATTCTTAAACACCAGATTCTCTTGGCCAGCTTATTTTGTTTAAACATACACAGCATTTCCTGATGAAAGGGGAAAAGGATTGCAATTCCCTTAACTCAAAAAGCTAATTATCATCATCATAATAATAATAATGACGACAGGAAACTGCTCCAAACCAAAGTCAGTAGAACAAAAGATAAATACTCCGAGGTTTGTAGAGTAAGACCGAGCACATTAGTTACTCCAGTCACAGCGTCAAGTTAAACCATTGCCCCCCCATCCCCTCTGTGCACCCTTTACCCGCCCCACCCCCATCTTCAGCTCTGACATTTTGTGCATCGCTGTCCCCAGATGTGGGGACATGTAAGTCCTCCTCAAAGCTTTGTCAGCTCAGTACTTCACTCCTGGAATAAATTCCTTGGCATCCGGGTTCAGGTTACTTTTGCTCTGAAATAAGAACCAGGAGATAATAAATCCCAAGGCAAGCTGCACTTTAAAACTACTACCTCCTGCTTCCATGATTATCAGTACCTTCCTCTCAGCCTCAAGGAAAGAATCAGAATTCCCTGCAACCCATGGCATTATTGCTGTACTCTTCTCATGGCTCCTGGCAGACTGAGCCCTGACCAGCCTGACTTTCTCCTCCCTGCTTTAAACCCTGTTCCCTTCATGATGCTTTCATCAGAGACTTGTAAGTTTGACTCTAAAAATAATTTTTCCATTTACTGACTACCTTAACTTTGATGAAAATCAGCATATTCCATCACACCAGTGTGGTTACCACAATCCTCTTTTTTTTTCATCTTACTGTTATCTACTCTCTTGTGAACATCCAAACCTTGTATATCCGAATATCCAAAACTGCAGTACAGTCATTAACATGAGCTGTATGAGAACTAAATCACTTAGAGAATTCGACATTAAGTAAACATGGAAGGCAGGGAATTCATTTATCCTGTCTTCTAATTATAAGTGAAAAATGGTCTCTTGGGAGTATGTTCCTTCCAAAATGAACAGGCAGTTTTTATAACAGCATTATTCAAAACTATAAATACAGATTTGAGGAAAAATAAAAGGGAAGGATAGTAGCAAATGATAATTTGAAACCAAATTTCTTCTGTGTTCAAATTTTTATCCTTAATCCCAATTCTACTTTGGAAAGCCCAGTGGGGAAAATGAAATTGGTGGTGCTGCAACAATAACGCTGTCACAGTGCTTTCTGCGGTACGATGCACCTTCAATGCACCTTATTATTAATGTCCATATGATGAGTGAAGAAACACCAGCCCAGAGGGCTCCAGAGACTTCCCCAAGGTTGTAGGGCCAGAAAGGAAGTTTGTGACTCCTAATCCTATATCCTTTTCACTGTGTCACCTGTGGAACTACATATGGCTCTTACCAAAATGTCTTCAGAATCATGCCCATCGCTGACTGACAGTCCATTTAACTGTTGTTGCAACTGTCCCATGGCCTGAGGCAGGTCTCGTGATGGAATAAACCAGTCTTGGTCTTCTTCATCCAGCATCTCCTGGAAGCAACGGTCCAGGAAGTCTTGCTCCTGCAGCTCCTCCTCCACCTAACAAACAAAGGTGAGCAGCTCAGACTTACTGTCCAGTGGGACTCACCCCTTCCAGGCTTTTCTCCACCTCTTTCCTTTAGAGGGTCTTACTCTGCAATTAATGATCTTGCATAAGATCTACTAAGAATTAAGACACTTCAAGTGACTAGCTAGAGAAAATATAATCTTTAATTTTTTCAACCAAATTCTATCAATAATAAGACTGAGGAAATAGTTATTCAAAATAGCAGAAACTCCAGGTATGCATAGATCTTCTAAGATCTTTAATATGTGACACAGATATTTTCCATTCGCATGGCACTTACAGGAAATCATTTTAAAGCTTGAAATTCTTTGTTCAATCTTGTTAAGAAGCAACTCTTCTAAAATTCCTCATTTTACAAGTATGAGAAAAGTACAGGAACTGTGTAACTAGACCACTACCTGGATAGTGGAGATTAAATCAAAACCAATTCTCAGCTTCTGGCCCACTTTTCTGGTAATGAGGCCCCTAAGGGAGAAAAATACTTTCAGAACCTTAGAAAGATATAAAGAACACTTTTTGGCATACCAATAGAAAATTATGTCATCAATGTAGCATTCTTTCAAAACAAGAAATGTGAATATTTAAACAACTCCATATTTTTTAAAGATTGCCCTAAAGCATATCTATCTAGGTATTTTATACCTCTTTGCAGACTGTTAACTCATAGTTAAGGAAAGAATACTGGTTCACTGTGTTGATTAGGATGATTTTAACAGGCTTCCTGCAGGAGACCTGCTGACAGACTCACAGCTCACCAGCAGCACCAGAGGGGAGGTGGAGCAAAAACAGCCCACAAAATTCTCTCATGAATTCAAAGCAAAGGTCACTGGCAGCAAGACTTCAAAACAGTATTTCAACATTACAATTAGCCACACTTTCTCTCATCTCAAGTAAGTTAGACAGTTATGAAGTACTTAACCACCACCAAAAAATTTTTCCAAGCCACAACAGTTAACATGACTGCTCAGAATCTGCCCTGACTCTCCCCACGAGCCTAAGAGCATGCTTCCCCTTATTAAGTCTATACTTATTCATAGGGACAACCCACTAAACTGGTTACCTGGGCACAGGGGTGTGTCAAGAAGCATGGTCTATGTGATATTTACACAAATTATGATATAGGGAGCCACTTGGGGTGGAAACTGCTGAGCTCCCCCAGAACTTGTTTCTTTCTTCCCAGAGAACCAGGCTGTTCAGTTAAAGCCACATTTCCCATGATGGATATGGCCATTTAACTGTTCATATCCCCACGAGGGAGATGGCATCACTTAGTTAAAAGGAGATCCCTTGCCCTGGCTTTTGGCTCTCTTCCTTTCCCAGTGGCTAGACTTCCAGTTATCACTACAGCTACTTAGCTAATAAATGCCCTAGGGGTGATAGAGCAACACCATGGGTCACAAAATCACCTGTTTACCTGGAATGCTTGCCATGGGCTGCTGAAATCAGAGATATAAAACAATGAATTACTGCTGAATCTTTGTGGAAGCAGTCTCGTTTTCCCCTACCCAACACACTTTGCTACCCCAGACTCATATATTCTGCCAGCCTCTCAGTTCCTATCAGGAGCATGCGAGGCTGTCCTGTCTGCACAAAGCTGCTGTTTCCCACAAGTCTACACCAGATCCCCAGAGCATTAGATTCTCTTCTAATCAATCTGGTAGAGAAAATACCAGTTTCTCTCCAAAGGTCACTCTGGTCTTTAACCAGCTGAAAATCCTTCTTGGTCAGCCCAGACCAGGCCTCCATTTTTAAGTTATTCTAAAGCCAACGAACCTGTTTCTTTTGTAACAATCTCACAGTAAAATATTAAAGCTGTCGAGGTACATGCATCATTAGTCTTCCAACTTCTTTCTTTACCTGTCTGTTGAAATCTTCCTCATTTTCCATCCACATGTACTCTGCAAATGGGTTTTCCTTCTCATCATGGCCATTTAACCCCTGGTCCTCTTTGGATTTTACACTGGGTGATGTATTTGCCACACTGGATCCGTTCATTATGACAGAATCTAAACAGGAGCAAAAAAAGGATAAAAAGATACAAGATCAAGGAAATAAAAATCCATAATACCCAGAGTCTTCCAGAAGCTTAAGTTCTAAGTCAAAGTTATTAACTATAATATAAACAAACTGTTATTCTGTAACTGTTATAAAACCAAATCCTGTAGTTGTCAACTATACAGATGTACAATTATAAGTTAAGAGAAAAAAAATGTCTAGGTTCAGTTAGCCTTCTTAGGCAACTGGGTGAGTGGATGAGTGAATCTTTCATCAAATTTCTGTAGGGTCTAGAACCTAATCAAGATCACATGGCTTCCTTAACATTTAAATAGAGAAAATGCATTCTCCATGAACATTTAAGGAACTGCCCCTTATTCTGATTATCAGGGTCTATTTTTCTTTAAAAAATATTTAAAAAAATAATGTGTTTATTGTATTGATAAACAAAGAGGAAAAAATTAAGGTCATCAGTTGTCCAACCATCCAAAGTTATAAACAATTAACAATGTGGTGCATATAACCTTCCTGACTGCCCCTTGTGTATGCAGACACACACACGAGCACTCATTCTTGTCCTCTCCAGTAATCCATTCTTATAGTAATAGCATGATTTTCCATCATTTGCTTTTTCTCATTTCTGTGTTAACACAGCCATACTGTCTTTTGGGGTGTTTCCAATGTTTTATTATTATAAAGGCTGGATGGACTTTGTGTTCATCTTCTTAATGATTTCCTTAGGGTAACTCCTAGAAACAGAACTGCTGTCTTAGAGAGTGTGTTTATTTAAGGTCCTTGACTTATTGTCACATGGCCATAAGGATTCAAATGCGTGCCAATAATATGTAAGTATGTGTTTGTTCCTCTGCATTTACAAGTATTACTATTCTTAACCCATTGCCAACCTCATAAAAGAAAACCAGCAACTTACTGTTTTACATTTCTTTGATTTTTACTGAAGCTGAATATTCTGGGACAAACTGGCCATTTATATTTTTTATTTTGTAATTTTTTGCTAAAGTACTTTGCCCATTTTTCTATCAGGGTAGTATTTTTTCCTTACTTTTTGTAAGAACTTTTATATGTGATTATTTTTATTTTTCATAAAATAATTTATAAATAAAAAATTTTATTTACTGTATTTTCTTAACTTTCTGTGGTAGTTATTGCTGGCCTTAATTTTTGTCTACAGCTTGTATGTCTATCTGTTGGTGGCTTTTTAAAATAGGCACATCTTTTTTTAATTGTTTAAACTTTGGCTTTCAAATCCATTTTGATGAGTTTGCTATAATCTGTAATGTGTCTTTTTCTGTTCTTTCAACCTTAGCCATTCTTTGAAAACCACTGCAGTCTTTACCCATCCCTTCTCCCTCTACACTCTTGTACCTAGTGAACGCAGTGTTAATACTGCTTAATTGTTCTGCTTCATATGCTTAGTTTTTCTCTTTCCAATTAGATTCTTGATGCCTGAAAAGCAAGATGGAGGTTTATACATTTTGCAACTCATCTTAATATCAGGAACTCCATAAATACCTACAGATCATTGCGCTTACAAACTTCCCCTTTCTATTCCATCTCCCTCCCTTCAGTCTCAACTCCATCCCTTCCCCCATCCTCCTTGGAGCATCTTGAAGGTTTATTTATTTTATTTTATTGTAATTTAATTTTTTATTAAGGTAATATTGATATATACTCTTATGAAGGTTTCACATGAAAAAACAATGTGGTTACTACATTTACCCAAATTATCAAGTCCTCACCCATACCCCAATGCAGTCACTGTCCATCAGTGTAGTATGATGCCACAGATTCACTATGTCCCTTCTCTGTGCTACACTGTTCTCCCCATTATCCCGCACACCATGTGTACTAAACATAATACCCCTTCTCCCTCCCTCCCCACCCCTCCCCTTCAGTAACCACTAGTCCCTTCTTGGAGTCTCTGAGTCTGCTGCTGTTTTGTTCCTTCAGTTTTGCTTCATTGTTATACTCCACGAATGAAGGAAATCATTTGGCACTTGTCCTTCTCTGCCTGGCTTATTTCACTGAGCATAATGTCCTCCAGCTCCATCCATGTTGTTGCAAATGGTAGGATTTGTTTTCTTCTTATGGCTGAATAGTATTCCATTGTGTATATGTACCACATCTTCTTTATCCATTCATCTTCTGATGGACACTTAGGTTGCTTCCATTTCTTGGCTATTGTAAATAGTGTTGCAATAAACGTAGGTGTGCATAACTAAAAATAGAAATACCATTTGACCCAGGAATCCCACTCCTTGGAATTTACTCAAAGAATAAAACTTCTCAGGTTTGAAAAGACATACGCACCCCTATGTTTATCATAGCACTTTTTACAATAGCCAAGATATGGAAGCAGCCTAAGTGTCCATCAGTAGATGAATGGATAAAGAAGAGGTGGTACATATACACAATGGAATACTATTCCCCATTCTCCTCCATCTCATCTCCTCTGTTGCCTCTTACTCAGGCTGTTGTAGCCTCTTTGGCCATCTTGCTCTTTCTCAAAGTATGCCAAGCTGGCTTTCACCTCATAGCTTTTGCACTTTTGTTTACTCTGCCTGAAATACTCTTTTTCCCAGATCTCTCTACTGTTCATTCACATACTTCAGTCGGGTTTCTGCTCACATGCTGCCTTCTTAGTGATGCCTTTCTTGACCATCTTCTTTAAATTACAGCCTCTGTCACCTGCTTATTCCCCATATCCTGATCTTGCTTCATTTTTGCGCATATCACTTATCACTATCTGATATACACATTCCCATATGTACATACGTGTTTACTGTCTGTCCCCTCCATCAAGGTTATACATTTATGAGGGCAGGAGTTAGCTGACTTCTAGTTTTCCCCTGACTAGTGACTAGAAGAGTTCTGGAACTGAGTACGCCTTCAAATTATTTTTAGAGGATCAGTTAATGAATGAACAAATGGTACTGGCCCATGGGTAGACAAATAGATGGGCAAGACAGACTAGAAGGTCCATAAATCCATTTTTATATATGGGACCTAAGTGATTTGTTGTTGTTTGTTTCTTTTTCAAAAGGAAAGAGACACTTTGGTGAAGGGGGAAAGGTTTACTAAATATGTGGAAAGTTTACAAGTGATTTAATACATTTGGAAGGAGACAAAGCTGGATTTCTACTTCATGCCACAAAAAAGAAAAAGTTTTAGATTCATTAAATATCCACTGTAAAAAATAAAATTGTAAAAATTTATTTTAAACTTTAGGAGAATTTTTGTATCATTTCTGAATGTGTATGCTTCTGGGGGGGTTGGTGTGAGGCTTCTTAGACAAAAAGAACATTCAGAAGTCAAAAGGGAAAAGATTGTCAAATTTGACTACATTTAATATTTATAATGGCAAAAGACACTCCAAAACAAAATTATCAATTTTGACATATTTGACAAATATATTTTGACAACATATTTGACAAATAAATTTTGACAACATATTTGACAAATGCTTGATATTCCTTATATCCTAATAACTATCTCCTGATAAAAAAGAGACAACCAGCTCATTAAAAATATGAGCAAAGAATATTGAAACAGCTTTTTTAACAGAAGAAATGCACATGGGCCAGTAGATACAAAAGGACTCAACAATTCATACATACACACATACAATTTTTTACCCATCAGGATCATTCATTCTTTTATCAAATACACACTGATTTTTCCACTGTGTAACAAGTGTGATTCTAGGCATTAGAGAGAAAGTAGTGAAGAAAACAGACCAATCTGATATCATGGATCTCATGTTCAGTGAAGAGAGATAGCTAAGAAACAATAAGAAAAAAAAAATTAATTATTCGGTGTGTTAGAAGGTGATAAGTGCTATAGAAAGAAATAAGGCCATGTAAGGGGGCAAAAAAGAAATACAAGGACTTTAAGAGGTTAGTTTTCCCAACTCCAGGGAAATGAATTTGAAAACCTAGACAAAATAAATGCATTTCTAGGAGAATATAAATAATAAAAGCGATTGTGGAGGAAAGAGAGAAAATCTAATTGTGTTATATATCATGAAGTAGCTAGTGAAAATTGTTCAAAAGCAGCTTTTAGAATAAGCACTAGGCAAGATATTTCAAAGGTGAACTCTACTAAACTTTTAAAGAATAGACAAGTCTAGTAATATTTAAGTTATTTCAGTTTAGGGAAAAATGTGATGTAGTGGAAAAATGGACATGTGTATTCAGTGGAAGAGGGAATTCTTAAAAAATTTTTTTAAAGATATTATTGATATACACTTATGAAGGTTTCACATGAAAAAGCAATGTGGTTACTACATTTACCAATATTATCAAGTCCCCACCCATACCCCAATGCAGTCCATCAGTGTAGTAAGATGCCACAGATTCACTGTTTGCCTTCTCTGTGCTACACTATTTTCCCTGTGACCCCCACACCATGTGTACTGAACATAATAGCCCTCAATCACCATCTCCCTCTCTCCCGACCCACCCTCCCACACTCCTCCCCTTTGGTAACCAGTAGTTCATTTTTGGAGTCTGTGAGTCTGCTGTTATTTTGTTCCTTCAGTTTTTGTTTTTATACTCCAAAAATGAGGGAAATCATTTGGCACTTGGCTTTCTCCGTCTGGCTTATTTCACTGAGCATAATATCCTCCTGCTCCATTCATGTTGTTGCAAATGGTAGGATTTGTTTCTTTCTTATGGCTGAATAGTATTCCATTGTGTATATGTACCACCTCTTCTTTATACATTCATCTACTGATGGACACTTAGGTTGCTTCCATATCTTGGCTATTGTAAAAAGTGCTATGATAAACATAGGGGTGCGTATGTCTTTTCAAACCTGAGAAGTTGTATTCTTTGGGTAAATTCCAAGGAGTGGGATTCCTGGGTCAAATGGTATTTCTATTTTTAGTTATTTGAGGAACCTCCATATTGCTTTCCACAATGGTTAAACTAGCTTACATTCCCACCAGCAGTGTAGAAGGGTTCCCGTTTGTCCGCATCCTCGCCAGCATTT